GAATAATCCATGCAATAGGTTTGAGGGCACCATTTCTACGAACCGGTTGGAATCGACAGTTTTTAATGATGTCAGAATTTGGATTCGTCTACGACTCGTCCATGGTAGCACCGTTCTCCAACGTGCCTGTGTGGCCTTACACACTGGACTACAGACCTCCACACAGTTGCATAACTCGTCAGCAATTATGTCCCACTCGTGCATATCCAGGTGTTTGGGAACTTCCGATAAATCAACTTTTAGCAGGCGTAAGTTTTGCCTAACAAGATTGTATTAAACAATCTCCTTACTCGTAACAAGAATAATCGTATTGTAAAGAAATAAAGAAAACAATTATTTTTAATAGCAATACACTTGTGCAAGAATGGACTCGTGCCCTTCGGATTTGTCAGCCGAAGATGTGTACAAGATACTGACGTTGAATTTTAAAAGGCATTACCTTAGCAATCGCGCTCCGCTGGGTTTGCATTTTCATGCATCTTGGTTTCAAAATCCGTCGTACTTTTACGCATTCATTGTAAGTTCTAATCAAGTGTACATTATTCAGACGTTACAGTTTTAATTATTACAACTACTTGTATTTACAATTTGATTAATTTTAGAAATTCATGGACGATGTGTTGAGATTAAACGACGTCTACTTCGTAACGAGCTATCAGGTAATCGAATGGATGCGCAAACCAACATCCTTAAACGCTGTTAAAACGTTCAAGCCGTGGCAGTGTAACTCGCGAATATTCCAGCCGTTTGAATTCGCTTGCGATTTATCGAACAGTTGCAAATTACCAAGCAGAGTTCTTAAGTCGTATCGTTATTTACACACATGTTTCGAATGCCCCAAAGAATATCCTTGGTTGAGGAATGAATTTGGAATGGAATGATACCAATGTTGCGCACTTTTTTAAATAAAAACAAATCACTACAATTGTTTTAAAAAAAAAGCACACATTTGTAATTTTTGTATGAAAATCACATTTCTTTAATAGTAAAATTCATTACAATGACATAACATAAATTATATTTAATTCCATTATAAAAAGTTAGTTGAAATCAGAACCTTCAGATATCAAGAAATTTAATTTCTTGTCAGAAATGTTGGTCAAACGGAAAACAATTTCAGTTTTTTTAACCTTCTTGCTGTATGAAAGGATTCTGAATGGATTCCATTCCATCTACTGGACAAATAAGTACCACAGACGTGCCCCTGCATACGACTAAACCTAACATGCGAGTGTCTTGATTCAATTTATAAGGATCGTCCGGGTCTATGGAAATAAATGTATCGATGGATATATTTAGTAGTTGTACAACGAGATGTGGCACTCGGTGAAATTACCTACCTCTGAGGTATTCCGTGGTGTTGTCAAGTACCAAGTTGAGAAGTGGATCGTACCCTTTCAGAATTCCAGCAGCTTCCCTCCCACCAGCGAACTTCACTCTAATATTTTTCTCCAGATATTTCGAAAGATCGAGAATACTCTCTTTCTTCTTCCTTTCTTTCGGTTCACCGTGAGCATTTTGTTGCTATAAGAAACAGAGAAAGAAGGTTGAATTACGCTTACAGGTTATGTTGTTGAAACAACGAATCTTTATCTGTCTCGTCGCCTGTAAAATATTAACATACCAATCGGCTGATTAATATTTTAGAAGCAAAATCTTAATATTCGCAGTCATTCTTTTTGTACTTACAGACATTGTTCGGCTTCCTCATAAACCGGGAACGTTACGCTACCGCACTGGCATGCGAGTACGACGCATTTTACGCCAACGTTCGGTACTTGGAGGTTAGATTCTTTGTTTGCGTTTTTTCAAACGTCGATTCTCGATCCTTTTCCCGCGCTTTGCAGCTGCTTCAATAATTTGTAAATGAATTTTTGAAATAATGTTCTTTAATAATTAATTTGAAAATAATAAATTGAAGAACTGATTATTTGAGAAAATAATATTCATTTTGTCTTGAAAGTAATACTTGGAATAAATAAATGGAACTAAAATACTCAAATGAAAAAGAAAATATAATCACTGAAAATCAAAAACTTATTAGTGTGTGTATGTTATTACACAGCAGAAATTTGTCTTAGCTTTTAATAGGAAGATAGTAACTATAAGAAATAGTAAATATAAACATTGGTCATTATACCTTGGGAAACCAGTTATTTCTACTCAAATAATATCAAATAAAATCAAATAATAACAACCTGGCATTGGTAATGGTATATAATTTATTTCACAAAGTAACAAATAAATTAATTTTTATGTGAAATATTTAATCATATAATTTCAGCATTTTACAAACAAATTGTTTCTGAAATAAAAACTTGAAAAGTAAAAATTTAAAAATTATATTTGAAAATTTTTCAAAACACCCAGATCTATCCAATATATGGTTAAAAAACTGCGAAGAGTGAAACTCTTCGGAATTGAGGAAGAATCGCCATCAATAAAGTATAAAGATATTTCGAACGTCTTTATTGTTATAATGTTGTCATTCAAATGGTAACAATGGGACGATGGGCAACAGTTTCGCAACAATTTCGTAAAAGCTTGGATTTATTTCGTATCCGATTTATAAAAAAATACATGTTGATACATGGTGTGTGAGTGGATGAATGGTACAGTTACTTAGAGTGGCCGTTTCTTATTCACGTCTTTAAGAATAAAGTTTGCGATCGTAACAAATGTTTGTTACATCCTATGATTACGAATGGAATCCTCGGTGACACGGCAGACTTATCGTTTCATCCTAACTGTTCGGCGCTTGTGTGTCGATCTTGCTCACCTTGTTGCACGTAACCTATCATTTCAATCGAAATGACCGTTACAATGTACAATCGTTGTGCTTGCAACTAACTTTCTATCCGTAGAAGATATTTCTCTTTACCGTTTCGACAGGAATTGATATTGTACTTGTGAAAATTTCGACACTTTCGTGTGTAATTTGTTCGTACTTTTAACTCGCGTAGTATTATCCTCAACTTCTTTCTGGCTGGCTGCTTCTGGATGGACACTGTATTACCGTATATACGATTAAAAACTCATCGATGCAACGGCTAAATAAATTCGCATTCTTAACTTATATATCTTACGTATGCACGTTACTGTTTTTTTTTCTCTCTCTCTTTTAGGCAAAAATTAAAATTCGATGTACAAAATACGTAGTATTTTATGGCCGAGATTTCAACGAGGCAAGGCTTACAATACGTCTACGCAGGATCTATCATCGTAACGTTTCGTTACGTTCATCGTGTTGTCTGCAACTGTCTGTGCAAGTTAATTGCAATTAACTGCTATTTTTCCACAGAGCTTAAAGAGTATATCATACGTGTATCATCGATTGCCATTGTTCTACCGCGTGACGATTCGGTGTGAAAGATTTTCCCTAGAGTAAAACAGAAGAGAATATATTATGGCTGTAATAGGAGGAACGGAAATAATTATAGGTCACAGCAGCGAACGTTCCTCTCTTCTAAGAGCACAGGCAATATCTGACTTTTGGACGAAATCAATTGAAGTTTACGCGCGTTGTAACTTCTCGCACAAAGTTGCAATGAAGGGTTTTACCAGCCGTGTTAAAAATATAGAGATTACTTGAGAGGATGACGTTTATCTGAAATATAGATTCCCTTCTTAACACGTAAACACGAGACACGCTTCTAAACAATTCGTCATGTTTGCTGTCGATCTTCCTCCTGCTCGGACAGCAACGGTATGTGGTTCGACTGATCGACGTTATTGCTCTCCGTTTCATCCTGTTCCGAAAGCAACGGTACCACTTGCCGGTTATTATTATCTGTCTCGGAAGGCCGTATACTTTGCCCGGGTAGAAACGACATCGGTATCGTGCCCGACGGCGTCGTCGGCGCTGATCGCGACAGCCATCGTTTGGTCTTATTCTTCGAGCCTTGAAGTCCCAACGGCATGTACATCTTTCCTCGCGTCCTTCTGGTTTTGTAAGATCCGATGTCTCCTGGGCTCAGAGGCCGTTGCGTAGAGCCGTTTGTATTCGCTGACGGGCATAACACTTGAGGTCGATTTTGATAACAAGACAAAACGGTACTGTGCCCGCCAGGTAGCTGGGGTAGTTGTTGAATCTTGTCTAACAACTCACGCAACTGAAAAATCGCATTAAACGTTAGAGGGAGTTACAATTACGTAAACGTTACAATTACTATTGTAATGCGTGTTAGTAAACGTGTGATTGAGAATACCTCTATCGTTGGACTAGTAGCCCGCGGTGGTGAACACGGAGATTGAGCAGCTAAACTCGATATGTCAGAGGTAGTTCTATGATTAGTCAATGATACAACCGATCCAACATCCATGTTATCCATTCTCGCACATTCTACACCGGACAGCTCGTCAACGCTGTTGTTACACGAATACGGCGGTGGGATTATGGTGTTTGCTTCATTAACCATGTTACACATAAAACTTGAACCCAACGAATCTAAGGTGCTTGCGTGTGAGAGGGATCTGAAATAACGCATTACAAATCCTGAGGTTCCTCCCTTGCCAGATCCTTCGTCGTATCCAATGACCAGTGGGTATAGATTTGGTTTTGCTGTAACCTAGAATGTTGAAAATGTTGATATGACATGAAAGAGGCATGATATGATGTAAATGTTACAAATATACCTCATTATAAGGAGGTGGTAGTGCTTGGACGAAGGAACCAGAACGGCTATAACGAGGTGGTGAGTACCAGGACACTGAAGATCCTCTATCAGAAGAAGTGAAATCCTCTACTATCTCTGGAGACCATGAACGATGATGAAAGGAGTGGTGACGCTTCCATAACCACCAGCCGCATGCTGTTGCTGATATTACCAATCCAACAAGCACCGCTGCCCTAGTAACACGGTAACGGTTGCAGTGAGTTTAACCTTTCAGAAGGGATTTACAAAACCGAGAGACTGACCACAAGATACTGACCACAAATACCAATAAGTCCAAATCAAGAAATTAAACATGTCTGATGCAGAGTGCAGTTGAAATACAGCGTAACAACAGCCAAAGGAACAGCACTCTTTTGGAGGAGAGCAGCTAAAAATTACAAAATAACAGTGATATGTGTTGGTTTTATGATAGGGTAAGTTCAAACATAGAAAGTACAGACTTACACATGCCCCCCATTGCACAGCCTAGAAGACACCTACACAGGAATGGAGAAGAAAAAGATGATTGTTATTTAATTTAAGAAAAAAAGAAAGAGAGAAAAGTCTTCGTTGAATTCAATTTGAATTCCAGGAGAATTCTATCACATTTAAGCGTTACATGCGTTATGTTCTCACATTTATAGATTTTATGTAACATTTTCCACGAAAGAGAAAAACAAACGAAGAGAACTAATCGTTTAGAGAATATTCCGGATTACAGTGAAAAGTGTCACGATACTTGCTACAGCAAAATTCCATCGATACTCTCTGGTTACACGTCGGGTACAAAGGATTAGTTCCGCGTTGCGAGAAAATGTACGACACAACGGTAATTACGGTCGCACTGCACCGCTGTACGTGTTCGACGGCGAAAATATAGCATTTCGAGTTGTCATAAGAAGAAATAAATGTAGAAAAGACTTACGCATGAACGATAAACACAACGAACGAGGGTTCATTGTCTAGGCACGGACGAGCCGTGCGTAAAACCGACCGTATTGATCGACCTCAGGTCAAGCAGAATAGAACAAGGAGACACTGGTACACAAGATATGCTAACATTCTACAGGGCTATAGCATGCTGCAGCGGTTTACGAGAGCTGCATCATTAAAACGGTTCTTCGTCGTCGTTCTTACTTGATCGACGAATAATGTCAGGAGTGCAGACATCACGGGTACATCGAACACGCGGCCTACAGCTTGCACCATAATTCTACCACGAAACGCATACCACCGCGCCACCTTATACAGGAATCGAGTTCGATTTCCATTGTGACACATCTGCCAATAGCTGATCTGCGGGACAACTTGCCTCGCTTCCCGTTCCAATTGAAATTCCCGGATTTTATGTTTCCGCTTTGCAATTGTTCAACATTCTCGCGAGCAATTATTTTCCGTCGAGGAGAATAAATTTAACACTTTCTACTATTTAATTTTAATTTACAAAAGCGTAACTGTAGTAAGTTACGAACGATTCATAAATGATAATGTAGTGGAGAACTGCATGGAGAAAAACCCAGCAAATGTATATCTGAAGCTAGAAGACACGTGTCTAAAAGTTAATCATGAATATAGAATAAACTAGAGACATGTAAATCGTGTCCTTTTGTTACGCGATTTTGGGCATCACCTTCCGCTGATGGGGTGCCATCCCCTTATCATTTTCATGTCAAATGCGACGTTATCGATTCATCGTAACAGAAAGCACCGACGAGATATGTGAATAAACCAAGCATTTTACGGGATGTCGTCGCTCGCGACCTGAAATACCGACATAGTAAAAAATCACTGGTTTTTTAGCGCACTCTACGTGTAAACAACGGTGAGTTGTGGAACTAGTGAATGCGCCAGCAATATCGGAAAATCATATTGTTTACACGTAGAGTGCTCTAAAAAAACCAGTGATTTTTTACTATGTCGGTATTTCAGGTCACGTGCGACGACATCCCGTATGATGCTTGGTCTATATCTCGTCAATGCAGAAAGAAATACGTACCTGCAGTCGGTAACTCAACATTTCGACACTTTTTTAACATTTTGATACAATTTCAATAAACTCGAATGCAAATTACAATTCTCTGTCAATCAAAGAGACTCGCGTCGAAATTTAAGTGTAAATTTGAATTAAAGTTCAAGCGGAGGATCAATCAAATTTATATTGGAAAAGAAAATATTAATCTTCCAAATGAATCGAGATCACTCGACAAATTGGCAAATTGTTTTCACGTTTTCAAAATGTAAATACCGTGTCGATAAACCGTCGATTCTAATTTGTTGAATTTAATACGCGTGTTAAAGGATCGTGTAAATCCGATTGGTCGATGTAGCGGACGGCTGACTCGTGATTGGTTACTACGGATCGTACACCTGACAACCATAGGGCTGAAATAAACCAGCGTATCGTCCCGCGCGTTGTTCACTACGCACGCGACACTCGATGCGTGATCGTCGATGGGTTTTGAGCGCGCGTCGAATACGGGTACACGTTGTCGAAGTGGAGAACGCGCGTGGGTTCAACATGTGACGTTTCGTGGACGTGGACGGTAACGTTGATCGACGAATCCCCGAACGACTAGCCCAGTGAAGTCGAATATTTTCGCCAAGATACTAGAAATCTCTATTACCTACTCAGTCTCGATGCTTTCCTCGATCCTTTGCTGTCGAAGAATATGAATATACCGCTGTGACGGATCGCGAAAGGTGAGCACAGACACTTTTGTCATAGAAATAGACTTAATTTTATGGTATTCGGTTTATGTCGAAAGTTCTACGAGTCATGTGATTATTCTTAATGCTAAAACTACCCAAGTCATCAATTTATCATTTCTGTTAGATATTTTATAACATTTTTAACAGATTTAAATAAATTTCTCGTGAAATATATAAATGAAAGCTTGTATACCCCATTGTTAACTCACCATAAAGTTTCACCGTTTTCCTTGACTTTGACGTCCCTGATGGAAATTTAGTCTCGCCGGTAGTTCCAGTGTCAGACGATGCAACGTAGACATTAAATAATAGTACGCATTCTCTCTTTTCATTCATTCGTTCGTTCAGGAGTCATTGAATTTGCGTTTCGCTCGATGGGTTGCAATCTCGCCTTGCTTCCGGGAAACAACAGGCGACTGTGCTTGCTGTCAAACGGATGGGAATCGTTCACAACACGAGGCGTAAAACGTTCGATGGATTTTCGCTTCGCTAACGGTCAGCTAAGTGAGCTAAATCAGCCGAGGAATGTTTGCACTTCAGCCGACATGTTTTCACCGCGGACAACCGTTCTCCCCGGCTGTGCATGCGACTGTTGGCAAACTAGTACGACTTATGCATATTGTATGGGCAGTGTGACTAGCAGCGGAAGAATCCAGCTCGTCCACCGAGTACTCGGCTACGCACGTACGATCGAATTTCCCGCGTTCAACTGTACCACGTATGCATGTACGTTGGAAACGAAGAAAGTATTCATTATTTAACGCTGATGATGAGAAGTAGGAGTTAGTTTTACATAGTGAAATACTAGCAACGTAGGATCGTTGGTATCTGACCGCAACGATCTGCACCCACTGGTATTGGCTGGTCGATCGTTTCGCCGAGCGGCGGCAAACGGGGAAAAAGAATTCGATCTAAGCGCGAACTTGCGTCACGCTTCGCTCTGCACAAAGCTAGCCGCGATGCAAACATCGAATCGATCCTCGCCGCCCGATGATAACGGATTATATACAGTTAGCTTTTGTCGCTGCCGAGATGGACTTTTGACAGCGATCGCGAAAAAATCGGCGATCCTCCTCCATCCTCCTCCTCATCTTCTTCGGACAAAGAAGTTCGTTGATTGTTCAGAACGGTGTAGACACATACGTTTCATCACAGTGCATCGTGAAACGACTTAACATTCCTCGTCAATCTGGCCTTGGAAATTCACGCCAGTCAAACTCGAATCA